TTAATGAAGGAACCAATTCTGCCGGATCGGTTGGTGGAACATGCGGAATTCTGCCGTTACGCGACTCTTCTGATCCGTTTGGTCCTAGGATCTCTCTCGGACGGGATAACGGCCACGGACATGTCATTGGATCGCGTTCGTCGTGCCGTCATCGTCGCTAAGACGCGTATCCAATGGGATCAGGAGGAGCTTTTAGAATTGATATGGCGTCATCTACAAGCGAAGGGTAAACAGTTGTCTTCCTTTCTGTAGTGTGTTTTTTTTTCATGTCTATATGTTTAAGTGCACTGATACAGTAGATGTGCTATCTCGTGAAATGTGGACCAAATTTCTCAAATGCGTTTTCATTTTGAAAATGTTATTTAAGTGGGGTTGTAGTATTTGTTATATTGCAGCATAATTCCCAAATATTTGAGTCACGTCATAATGCTGGGTTTTGAACTGACTTCTTTCCGGCCGCCCGCAAGACCTACACTGTGACAAATGTGCATTTAAGTACATTGATCTTCGATGTTAACATTCAAGTTTATTTTCTAAGAAACCTCATAAAAGCATTCCTGTCTGTACTGGTTTGGTAGCAACTCACGTCTTCTTCGCATTTATACTTGAGGAAAGAGCATCTTCCGGTTTTCAAATGCTTTTTTTTATTCCAGAATAATTCTGAATCCGACCCGCTGTTACATTTGCATTTAGGGTTTCACAACTGCATACACTCCCCTGAGGAAATCCCAATTTCTCCACGCTTTGAGGAAGACGTCACACAGTCCTCATAAAAATTTAAAATCACAGATTATGTTGTGCTCATCTGGTGAGTGCAACATGATCTATGATCCCTATCCCGGAATTCTGACTTTTGCGAACTTGAGAAAATGCAAAATGGATGTGAACTCTGCTGTATACTTTATAAGCAGCATTACTACGTGTATAGATGCGATGCTTTATTAGTGGTCATTTTATGGTCCCAAAAGATCCCATAATTAAAAACCTTTTAAAACCAAAAGATACCCGTTCTTGAAGTGCATACCTCCAAGAAGGCGTAATCCGCTATGAACTTAATAGATTTATAGGCGCCTCGAAACTCAGTGGTATATATTCACACTGTGTATATTGTCCTTAATTTAGAGAGTGTAGGTTTTGCAGGCAGTCGCTGGAACGAATCCCGTTCAAAAGCCGGCACTGCCACGCGACTGATATGCGTTAAGATTAGGCTACACGATAATCAATATTACAACCCTACTGAAGTTATTTTTCCATGCGAAAGCCCACCTCGGAATTTCTGGTGACATTTCACAAGACAGCAAATCTTCCGT